CCCCAAAACCCCAAAACCCCAAAACCCCAAAACCCCATCTGGGCAAAATGATTTTGATGTAAAGTAAATAATCTTAAAAATCAAACTCTAACATAACTAAAAAATTGAGTTTAGTTTCATAAGCACGAAACTGCTGTTCACAAGTATTAGTTCATTAATACTATTTTTATGAGCTATTGTTTTGATAGGTAGATGTAGACTGATTTTATTGGATAAAGTTGTATTACTACTACTAATGTTGCTGTAATTATTATTAGGAAATGTTTAATTGCGATTAACTAAGTAAGTTCGCTATATTTGGATCAAATCTAGATTTATTAGTTAATTCTTATGCTACAATAAGACTGATTTCTTTAATTAATGGATTTTCAGCAAGCACTTAAGTCTCATTGTTAAGCTATACTACTCCTTTATTGAGACTTTACTCATAAGTATAAGCTAGGTGCTCCCTAGATGCTACTTCAATCCTTATCATTTCTTGAAGTTAAGACATATATAATTTAAGAGTCTCAACACTTGAATCCCATTTTACTAGTAATTCTTCTCTTCGGCTTGTCTCATAAAGTGTTGATTCTTAATCTATTCTCTCTTTAAACCACTAATGAGTAACACCTCGCCAGCTACCAAATAGCAGCCTAAGCCTACGCCTGAATATGTAATTTTTGCTATAAGCTTTAATTCTTTTTTCTCTCCTAGCTAATTGACAGTAATACTCCATCTACCTGAAAGCTAATCTCTAGAGATGTAGTTCATATTTTTAAAGCAACAATTACTGGGTCCTTTACTTTAAGTTGCGTCTTTTTTCTCTAATATATTCAATATCACTCTCCTTTTTCTAAATCAAACCTTAAAGATCACTTATATGAGTATTCTTTTCTGCTAAGTTTGCTTAAAAGTTCTGTTAATATTCATGCATATAGGTCATTCTTAGCTAACTGTATTCATGCACTAGCTTTTCTTTGAATTCTCTGAATAATCTATCATAGCATTTTTTAAATGTTTAAAGTTATTGTGTATCGTTGGGCAGAGGTACTCTTTCCTTAATCACTATTAATACATTAAATGCAAATCTCTTACTTTCATAAACAGGCCCACTAGACTTAGAGTAAAATGTTAATGCGCCATGTTTTTTGCTCAGCATTCTGATTGAAGAGCCAATATTTTCAGACATTACATCTTGAGATTCCCCAATAGTACCTGGAGGTGTTGATCTTCTCTCAGATTCAATTTCCTCTTCACTTATTCTGCCACCTAGATAGTAGTTCGGCTTTCCTCTATCGCTATATTCAACTTGAAGACTAACTTTGCCCTCGTCACTTCGTCGACCTAGAAATCATTTGATGACTAAATTAAGGCTACATACCGTCGTCAGAGTAAGATGAGTTCATATGAGACATTTCTTTATAATTTGAATTAAATTTTATCCATTTATAATAATCAAATTTGAATTCCGGGGTTTTGGGGTTTTGGGGTTTTGGGG